CCCAGCAGTTCTCAAGGATCTAGAACAATTTTTCTCTATTCCCCATAAGTATGAAAGCAAGAAACAGCCTTTGGGTTTCACTCTGCTAGTCACTCCTGTGAATGAGCACACAGTAAGTTCACAAAACAGCTTGGACTCCAGCATCCTGGGCAGTTTTGCTTCAGGTGAATGCTGTGCTGAGGTGCTGAGCTACCGCTGAGTTGCAGTAACTGTGATGGTTCATCACCACTGTGTTTCTAGAAATGGTAGTCATTACTGTGCAATGAGCTTTGAGATACTGTGATTTTAAAAGACACTAGAGAAAATCAAATTCTCTGATATCCTTCAGTTATGAGCATTAAGACTTTCAGCAATTGGCTTTGCAGAAAGGGACATCTAGTGGTTGTGTAGAAAAAAACCTTGCAAAATGCGTTTTCAAATGTACAGCATAGCCATTTGTGTATGGCCTGCAGTGTTCAATATTCTGTCCATCTTTTTGGTTCTACTACATCATGTGTTTTCTGGGGGGTAGTTTTTTATGGTTTTGACAAACAAAAAAAAATCACCATTTCGAGCCATTACTTTTCAGCTTCATCTAGATCTGTGTGTGGTAACTTGGGCAAATGGAAAACTGCCTTGGGCCATGCTTGATGTACCTCACTGCTGCACTTCCACGTTTTCTATAGCATCTTCCAGGAGTCCATTGCCTGCTGTTTCCTTCTGCCATTGCCTTCCCCTTTGGTACTGTACTTGGAGAGCTTGTCATTGTTATTGTCATGGTAAAACCTACTTTATTTTGAATGCCCATAGCATAAAAGTCAGCAGGAGGGGTGGATGAGATTCAGGGAATCACTAATCTAAGCATTCAGTCATGTATTACACAACAAAAGTTTTTTCCTTTCCCATCCATGTTGTGCTCCTTCTTACTAGTTGAGGATGAATTCCATGCATGTTTCTGTGAATAGCCTGAGAGTTTAATCGGTACATTTGCATACGGGCAAATGAAGCTTTTTTCAAAGTTGCACAGTAATATGTTTCACCTTTATGCCATGCCAACTTCAAATTGTATCCCAGGAGGATTTCAAATGTGCATAATCTGTGCAGTTGTCTGGGCTTTTTTCCTTTCTTTTTTTTCTGCCCTTTTTTTTTTTTTTCTAAACTGGCAAATGCCTATTCATTGCCCATCTGGGTAAGAATGGCCTTTGCATTTTCACACCCATTCTTTCCTATATGGATTGTGAATACCCTTCCAATCAGAACTTGCTTCACAGAAAGGGGACAAAACCATTTTACAGGAGTTTCTCAGAATAAGTCCATTGGGATCTCTACATCATGTTTACTGGACAAAAAAAAAAGGGAGTACTTAACAAAGACCACTTGAATTTCACAGAAAGTTTCCCACTGTCTCGAGTTTAAAAGAGTGGCAGGCCTGAGGAGAGCCCTAGACAGGAGTCTTTCTCCTGAGCTGGGCATTCTGTGCAGTGACGAGTAGGTGAGTGTGCATGTGTGCAGCTGGGCCTTGTGAGGAGCTGACACACTTTCTGCCTTGTCCAAGGCTCTAGGAGTCCTTGTCAGAATATGGCATTTACTTAGAATCAAACCTGCATTGGCAAGTCTGTGTTTCGTGGGCACCATCACCTTTGGACTTGCAGCTTAGAACAGCATGAAGTAGGGGACAACCACAAAACTTGGATCTGGATCCAGTTTCCTGCAAAGAGAGAAAGGATCTGCCTTGGACAGCAGGTTTTGCTACAAATCAGTCTCTGGAATTTGTTAAAACTGCTCTTTATACTGATGTGGTTTGTGTAATAGTGTTTCTGACACTTATACAAATTATTTGTTTGCCTGGACTTTGGCTAGATATGGTTTACAGTGTTGAATGTCAAGGAAGGTGGCTTAGAAGAATCATCCTCAAAATCTGTATTAGCTTTTTTTTACCATTTACTGCGTATCTCTTCTAATTATACTTCTTTTATCCTCAAGGAGTAAATTTCAGTTGCTTCTCAGTTGAAGAAGTGGTATGTGTTCCAACAATGGGAGGATCTTTTTAAGGGCAAACTCTAATAGCAGTAAAAAATAATGTCACTTATGAAATGGCTCAGTTGGCTTTCAGACCAGCTTCTACACCACAAGGAGCATCCTAGATCAGTTCCTATATGAGAGCTATTCACATCACTCTTAAAAATGCATACAAATCTCTTTTTTGTAGCCAGGATCAATTTCAACTGCCTGTTTTCATTAAGTTTGCTAAGGACTTCCCTAAATTCCTCCCATGTTAAACTATGACAGGACCAAATACACTGTGGCTACACAATTCTTGATTCCCACAGCCAGGACCTGAGGAGGGCTGTTGAAACTTATAGATTAAATTTGCCTTTCCTCCTTTCTGTACATGATTTGTGGGTAAATGGCAGAATTCATGTTCCCAGGAAGTCATCCAGTCTTATGATGCATGTCACACCTTTCTGGAAAGGAGTTGTCCTAAGGATGTATTTTTCAGAGTTCTGCTCACAAAATTAATTTTATCTGCCAAGGAGCATAGTAACAAAGTAGGTTTCTTTTCTCAAATCAAGTGACCTATCTGTAGCCTCTCTGGTATGTGTAGAAAATTCCACATTGTGCATGTTCAAGGTAGGATTTTTGGGTTATTGGGTTGGATTGCTGCATGTTTCTTCTTACTATCAAGTATCTCATTTGACAAAACCAAGCAAAAAGATGTGTTTCTGCAAAAATGAGTCCTAGGAGCAAACCAGGTAGTCACTGATACTAGCAAAGATAGGTGGAGATAAATGGGTAGCTGTACAATCCCTTGCTGTGGCCTATAGTAAGTCGTGAAAAGAGGTGTCGCCTATTTATCAATAATTTTCCACCCTACTGTTGCCCCACTGGTACGAAACTTTTGCCAAGGCTTCTGACTTTTTGTGTAAATACATTTTAGATTCTTTTATAATCTGAAATGTTTTACAAGGAAGCATCTGGAACTGCCCTGGAGGCCTCTGGAGAATTAGTAAGTCAGGAAGGAAGAGGAAATACACCTCTTTTCTACTTTATTTTGTGTAATAATAGTTGCAGTGCCCTTGAAGGAAAGTCTCACAGTTTCTAAGATGTTTTTCCAGTCCTATGGTCAGTCCCATCAGAGAAAGAAGCTCAGGTGTCCTGGCTAAGCTTTTGAACAAGACAGATGTATTTCACAACTTCCATCATGGTGTTAGTGATTTCCTCCTTGTTTCTTCTGTGTGAGCTTCCCCTCAGCATGCTAATCACACATGGAAATTAGTAACCTTCTGGTACAGGTTGGTTTTACATCTGTTAACATGGGACTGCTTCAGACAGCTTGGCCCCATTGTGATTTCCACTTTCTGACCTTTGTGCTTCTCTTTAATCATCAGCTGCCTCAGAGAATTAAAATAACTACTTGTGTCCAAGGTGGTTTCTCTTGGAACCACCAGAATAGAGGGTGCTTGAGACACTGGTAGTGAATAAATGGGAAGAAAAAGGCAGAGCAGGGAGGATGCCACATGTGCCTGCAAATTGCAGTGAGTAGTGTTGGACTGCCTGTGGATGAGATGTAAAGCACTCCTTAGGGTGGAGCAGAGAGATGTTGCTGGGCTAAAAGGCATGTGTATGCCTATCAACTGCTTTCAGTGCTATTTGCTCTGTACATTTTTAGACAGTAACAATAACCTAGTTTAATTTACTTACACTTACCAGCTTTTATTTTGGGATGCTCAACCATTACCAAGTTATTGTGGCAAGAGTGGTTAGATCTTTGGTGGAATATACAAGACAAAATGCCTGTAATACTAGTGGTGATTTAGTATTACTTGGTCTAATTTTCTAGAAACCAAGGTGCCTCATGTACTACAAATGTTTAAAATAATTATTAATAGTGTTTTATTTGTTTACCATTCAAGGGGCAATTGATTCTTCATCCTTAAAAGGTGAAACCATAGTTTCTACCTGTCAAAATCGAAATAGATGGAAATTTCTTAAAGAACAGGAAAGGAAATGGGAAAGCATTGAAACCAAAGCAAGCAAGATGAAGATAGAGAACAGTGGATTGGGAGATTGAGAAATGTCTTTTCAGTCACTTGTAAATTGTGAAGATTATATTAGCTCTGTATCCAAATGGTTTGGATATGCTTTTCTAAACTGTTCTCTATTTAGATTATTCAGCCAAACTAAGCCAAAGTCTTCCTTGGAGTAAATGTCTGTAATTTTCCAGTTTCTGTCAAGTAAATAACAGCAGGAGAACATTTGTTTTTATATGATGGCGTTCTGGTGCAAGTCAGAACTTGGGAATATGCTAAAAATGAAGGGGACAGCTCATGTTAACTTTTTGCTTTGGGTTCTTTCAGAGAACTGTTTGTCACTATTGGGTAGCAAATGTTCTAAACCACAACCCCAGACAAAACTCTGCGTGGGATTTTAGGAACATTTACAGCCTGAATCTTGAACCAGATTTGGATTTTACAAAGTGACTGCCAGATTTTTTGATAGAAGTAACTGTACTGTGAAACTCAGGATCTAAATTCCTTAAAATACCAATCTAGATTGAAATAATATTTTCATATATACTCTCTGCATTAACAACTTAGGGTCATCACAGATTCTGCTCTCTTCTGGCATAAATCCAATCCAGAGCTTAAAATTCAGCTTTAAACCATGTGTTCAGTGTTTAAAATTGGCTGGCTCTAAGCTTTTTAAAGCCAGATAAACTGATAGGAAGTCCAAGACTCAGGAGTGTGATTGGTATTCAGGTCCAGCTGCACCTGTCTTCATTTGGTTTTGTCCAAAAATTCAGGACTTGAGCTTCTGGAAATGAGTAGGGGAGTTTACTTGCAGCCTTACAAAAATGATGTGTTCTTACCAATGCCTCTGTGTGTGGTTTTACCAGTGCAATCAGTTTTGTTTACACTATGGGAAGGTACCTTTTGCCAGCGCTCTCGCTGTGGTCCTGCAGAGGACAAGACTCATTCTGTTCTTTTTTTTGTTTGCTTTTGTCACCTGCTTTGCTTCAGGTAACATCAGTTGCAAGGGGATGACAGAGCGCATTCATAGCATCAACCTTCACAACTTCAGCAATTCTGTGCTCGAGACCCTCAACGAGCAGCGCAACCGTGGCCACTTCTGTGACGTGACGGTCCGCATCCACGGGAGCATGCTGCGCGCCCACCGCTGCGTGCTGGCGGCTGGCAGCCCCTTCTTCCAGGACAAGCTGCTGCTGGGCTACAGTGACATCGAGATCCCCTCAGTGGTGTCGGTCCAGTCTGTGCAAAAGCTCATTGACTTCATGTACAGCGGGGTGCTGCGGGTCTCCCAGTCAGAGGCCCTCCAAATCCTCACAGCCGCCAGCATCCTGCAGATCAAGACTGTGATTGATGAGTGCACAAGGATTGTCTCACAAAATGTTGGAGACGTCTACCCAGTGATTCAGGATTCTGGCCAAGAGACACCCAGGGGAACACCTGAATCGGGCACCTCGGGGCAGAGCACCGACACAGAGTCTGGCTACCTGCAGAGCCATTCACAGCACAGTGTGGACAGGATCTATTCAGCCCTCTATGCCTGTTCCATGCAAAATGGCAGTGGGGAGCGCTCCTTTTACAGTGGAGCTGTAGTCAGCCACCATGAGACAGCCCTGGGACTCCCCAGGGACCATCACATAGAAGACCCCAGCTGGATTACCCGGATCCATGAACGGTCGCAGCAGATGGAGCGGTACCTCTCCACCACTCCAGAGACCACACACTGCCGGAAGCAGCCACGCCCTGTCCGAATTCAAACTCTGATGGGCAACATCCATATTAAACAGGAGATGGAGGATGACTATGACTACTATGGGCAACAGAGGGTGCAGATCCTTGAGCGCAATGAGTCTGAGGAATGCACTGAGGACACTGACCAAGCAGAAGGCACTGAGAGTGAGCCCAAAGGGGAGAGTTTTGACTCAGGTGTCAGTTCCTCCATTGGCACTGAGCCTGATTCCATGGAGCAGCAGTTTATGGCTGGTCTGGGCCGGGATGGGCAGCAAGAACCTACTCAAGCAGATCAAAATGATGTCCCTGCTGATGGCACTCAGCCACAGCAGCAGCAGCAACATGTAGATGCCAACTCTTCCTCACCAGAGAGAAGCAATGACGTTGAAATGGACAGCAAAGTGCTCACAGTCAATAACAGCACCGAAAAGGGGGCTTTGCAGCCTTCTGTCAACACATCTGTTGCCCAGCCATTGCCAACCACACAGATCTACTTACGCCAGACAGAAACCCTCACCAGCAATCTGAGGATGCCACTGACTCTGACCAGCAACACTCAGGTCATTGGCACAGCTGGCAACACCTACCTGCCTGCCCTTTTCACCACACAGTCTGCTGGCAGTGGCCCTAAGCCTTTTCTCTTCAGCCTGCCCCAGCCTTTAGCTGGCCAACAGACACAGTTTGTGACAGTGTCCCAGCCCGGCCTGTCAACCTTTACTGCCCAGCTGCCAGCCCCACAGCCCTTGGCCCCATCTGCGGGCCACAGCACAGCAGGTGGGCAAGGCGAAAAAAAGCCTTACGAGTGCACTCTCTGTAACAAGACTTTCACCGCCAAACAGAACTACGTCAAGCACATGTTTGTACACACAGGTAAGAGTGCTTCCCTTTGGCTTGCATGTGGAGCCACAGAAAGCCCTTCACAGCCATGGACTTAGGTGTTGTTTGCCAATCTGCCAGCCCCCAGCATAAACAGGAAGGAGGGCTTATCCAGGGAGCTGGAGTCACTGAACACTTCCTGGCCTTACTGCACTGAAGTTGAGTGCCTGCAGAAACATACAGATCCCAAACAGGGGCCTAACTGTGCATGGTGCAGAAACAGTTAATTTCTCTTGGAGTAAAACACATCTTGCATGCATCCAAGGAAATGGTGAGCATTCACTCTACCCTGCAAGCTGACCAGGCAACATTAAGTGGAAGAGAGGAAACTAATAGGTCATAATAAAAACTATATCTACTAGGAAAGGGCATCACTTTGGGGGGTTAAGCTCAAGAAGTGGTGAGGTTAGTGCAAATTCTGTACTGGTGGAGCTGCAGCAGTAGGTCCAGGTTCAGGTGTTACACACACTGACATGGATTTTTTAGATCTCACATACTACTATAAGAAAGTATGTCTGGGGTTTTGTCAGAAATTCTTTCTGTACCTCACTAAAGCTGACTGCTGTAATCCCTTGTCTCTTGGTAAGTCAGAGGTATCACTAGCTGTGAGTACAGAAACACAGGGTTCAATGAGAAAACATTTAACAAATATATGTGGAGCACAATGGAACACAACATCAGCACCTTTCTGTTTAAAACTACAGCTGCTTTAGTACACGGTATATGGTCTGTTGAGATAACATAGGCAACCATATCTGCCACTCAGGCAAAACTGCCTTTTCTAACTTTGGCAATTCATGAAACTTCAAAGCAAGGATATGTGTTTTACATGTAGGAGTTATCATGGGTTCAGGACTGCTTTGCTTGCTCTAGCCCTTTACTCTTTCTGCTGTTGGAGAGAAATTCTAGTTTAGAGAAAGAATAAATATTTCTTTCACCAAGCAGTAGCTTTGTTAACATCAGATCTTAAAATAAATGCTGGGTTTGTGAAACATGGAGGAGAACCTGGAAAAATTGCCCAACATGCCTCTCTGTTGGATGCAACAGATTTCAATTCCATGTGTAGATGTAAACTTTTAACTTTAATTTACCTATATTTATCACTTAAATGAAAAACTCCTCTAGACATCTACAGCAGACATGTACATATACAAAAATATCAGCTTCTCAGGACTGATACAAAATGCGTAATTGCAAGGATCAAGAGTCCTGAATCCCAGCATTACCTTTGTGTCTATTTATGTTCTCCATCTTTTTGTTGTAGATGAGGAGCTAAAATGCTACATAGATAGTGTTGGCATTCAGAAAAATATCCCCTTCAGAACACAGTAAAATGTTTCTGCTTGCATACTTGTTCTAAAAGCTGAAAGGGCTGTTTTACAAATAACTTCACTGATATTAGGTACTTTATTTCCCCCATTGCGCTTTGGTTTCGGAGTCAGGTAAAGAATAATACTGGAAGACCTTATCTAAAGCATTCTTAGCTACTACAAGTAATACCAACCAAGGAAATTGATAGGCATCTTGAATCATTAATTAATATTTTATTTGTGTGGGTCTGAGAATGCCCTAAAAAATGAGCTGTGGTGGCAAAGAAAGATTTGCGTAGATAAATAATTTCAAAATTCATTTAGGAGCTAACTGACTCCTAGCAGAATAATTTCACCTTAACCAACAGAGACCTAGGCTTCAAAAAGCCCTCCTGAAAATAATTATTATGTGTGCAGCCTCAGAGAAAGTCTGTATGCTGCCTTGTCTAGTGTTGGACAGGATCATTACAAAAATAAAGGGGGGACTTTTCCTTAGACCTCTTAAAATAAGCCAGGCAAAGTGGCTCTGGAAAAGATCCACAGAAAAAAATAGAGATTTAGGAGATACAGATGTTTTAATTTATCTTTCTGTTTGGAGGGCTCACAAGAGAAGTCATGGAAGAGTCCAATCATAAACCAGAATTCAATAACTTAAAGGTCTCTATATCTCTGTATGGTTTTATGCTTCCAAAAACTATATTCTGATGTAACTTTCCATGCAACAGAAACTGACTTCCTTTTCTTTCACATGGGTGCAAACATATTAGAGATTGCTGGTTTTCCATGTTCCTTGTAGACTCACTTTAGTATATCCCACAATATTGTGGAAATACAGTGCTGGAGTGTATGCAGTGTCTGCACTTTATTAGGCACCATTGCCTTTCCCACATACCACACTGTGATTAATACTGGATGAAAGGCTGCAAAAGACATGCCAAGGGGATCACAGCAGAGCACCAACATTGCTGCCTCCACACCTTTCTAATGTGGTGACAGGATGAGAGAGAGTAATTTGAGGAGCGGCTGAGGTCATTTGGATTGTTCAGCCTAGAGGAGATTGAGGGGAGACCTCATTGTGACCTACAGCTTCCTGATGAGGGCAAGTGCAGGGGCAGGAACTGACCGCTTCTCTCCTGTCCAGTGATGGGACACAAGGGAATGGCATGAACCTGTCTCAGGGTAGAGTTAGATTAGATATTTAGGAAAAGGTTCTTTACCCTTTGGTTGTGGTTGTTGGGCACTGGAACAGGCTCCCTGGGGAAATGGTCACAGCACCAAACCTGGCAGAGTTTGAGAAGCTCTTGGACAATGGTCTTGGGCACATGGTGTGACTCTTGGGGTGGTGCTGTGCAGGAACAGGAGGTAGAATTTGATGATCCTTGGGAGTTCCTTCCAGCTCAGGATTCTATGATTCCATGACCTCAGTGTCAGCACCAAGTATCCATTATGGTTAGGGTTCAAAGAGCCACAGAGCCTACATCACCAGGAGAACAGGGACTGGAAAAGGGAACCATGGTCAGGCGCTGACAGTGCTTCTTCCCCCTTCCAACTCAGGATATGTTCTGATCTCTGATTCTATTCTTTTAATCATCCCATATTGCTGTCTAATACCAGCCAATTAAAAAAAAAAAAAAAAGCAAAAGGAAGAGCATGCACATTTAATTCACTAAGCAAAGTTTTCTCTGACTTGAAAATGAAGAATCACGGGAATAAAGAATCTACAGCGCTCACTCAGGAAGCACAAAAATTTGCATACAAAAAAGAAAAACTTAAGTTTTGCAATTCTTTGGAGAGGAGAAATCCCAGGAAGGCTTTGAAGCTGAGATTAAAAAGCCACAACCCAGTGTATCTTAGAAACATAAGCAGGCAAAAATTAAGGTGTTTTTTTAGCATGATCATAACAGGGTTTAGAGTGGAGAAGACCAAATTCTACAAACTCTGGGACATATATTGCCCAAGGCAAAAATGAGCTTCGTAAATACAATCAGCCTCTTGTAAGTTAATCAGACATTATTCTAACTGACACACTATTATTTTCCACATCACATGTCATGCATATTGGCCTGCCTACACATGACCCAGTACTGTGTGTGGCACAGCCATCAGGAAAGCAAGGACTTAGTGTTTTGAGCATGTGTCTTTCACCAAGTAGGGATAAGCTCATCATGGGTGCAAGGAAGAGCAGCAAGTGGATTTCATTCATGGATGTCACCATCATACATGCAAACCATGCAATAAATAGAAACAGAGACTTGGGGAGATAAAAAAGTAGGTCTTTCACATCTAATCCATTTTAATTATCTCCTCTTAAAATTGAGTATAAGTAGCATATGGTAATCTCACTATACAATGAGTGAATTATATATTACCACAGGCATGTCTTGGTCCCTGAAGATTGACTCTTCAGGATTTACAACAGTGCCAAACAGACTGTAAAAAGAAGGAAGCAGGATGTCTGCAGAGGAAAAAAAAAAAAAAAAAAAAGGGGGAAATTGCAGAATAACACAGGAAAATAATTTTCTCAATCAGTGAAACAGAGGATCATTTTGATTCTTACAGAGCTACAGTACCATCTCTATTCCTGAGAGCTTTGGGGATGATGAATTCCACACATGAAATATACTGCAAATGATTCAGAAAGCAAATTAAAAAGTAGATTTTGATGGGGCATTCAGGGTGTTGGTTGTTGGCTACATTACCAGTGCAGCAGCATGTCATGAAAACATTGCTCGATACCATGAAACATGCATGAGACCACACCTTATCTTTCAGAGCTCTGAGCAGGAGGATGATTTAAGAGTAGTCTGAAAAAAAACAGTATATGTGCTCAGCTAAGTATTTTTTCCAGTTTATCCTTGTAGTCACTGGTTTGTCTGAACATGATCAGAGTTCAATTTTATGAATTTCCGTAATACGTTTTACAACAGTTCTGGGAACACATGGCAATGTGGAAGATTACATACATGTTTTATCTCTCTAGTTTACCTCATAAGGTGTTTGATTTCACTGGCAGTCAAATAATTCAAGTTTCCTGTGTCTTACACTGGAAGTTTATCTGTTAGGTTGCCCTTTGCATGGTGCTGGCTGGCCTAGGCAATTCTGTGTCCTGAGGTTCCCTTTTCCAGTACTCCTTGTACATGCTTCAGCTATAACATTTGACCAGAAAAGGAGCAACAAATGTAAACCTTTTATAAGGTGTTGGATTCCTCCGGCAATCTCTGTCTCTTCTCTCCTGAGAAATTGAAAGCAATTTGACTGAAATGAGTCTGGCCCAGGTCAGCTGTCTGGTAATCACTGATTTGTCCCTGTTTTTATTGCATGCTGGTAAGGAAATGGAAGCACTGAAAGGTGAAGTAGCATGGGTGAAACCTTTCTGTCTAGAAATGAGCATGAGGAGCAAGAGAGGAGCACAGACAGGAGAGGCTGTGCCATTGAAACTGGGTGCAGATGCCAGGACCTTTAACTCTAGTCCTGTCTTTGTCAGTGCCTAACTGCTATGTGAACTTGAAGAAATCATCTGAGCTCCTTTTTACTATATGTGGATAGGGAATTTCTACAGTCCCCTCTTTAAAGCATTTTGAGACCTCTGGTTGCAAAAAATGTTGTGTGTCAAAACACACTAGTTAACAGACTTTTTGTTAGCCAGAGCACCTCTCCAAAGACCCCCATGAGACTTACCATTAGTTTATTGCAAATAGTTCTACTGAACTGGTTTAATTTTATGATTCTTTTTTTGTCTGTTTCTGTCTCTCTGTCTCTCTCTCATTGGTAATGGGCAGGTGAGAAACCACACCAATGCAGCATCTGTTGGCGCTCCTTCTCTCTAAAGGATTACCTAATCAAACACATGGTGACACACACTGGCGTGAGGGCCTACCAGTGCAGTATCTGCAACAAGCGCTTCACCCAGAAGAGCTCCCTTAATGTGCACATGCGTCTCCACCGTGGGGAGAAGTCCTATGAGTGCTACATCTGCAAGAAGAAGTTCTCCCACAAGACCCTGCTGGAGAGGCATGTGGCTCTGCACAGTGCCACCAACGGCACGCCTGGAGCCACCAGCACCGGCACGAGGGCTGTCCCTGCCGGCGTGGTGGCCTGCACGGAGGGGACCACGTACGTCTGCTCTGTCTGTCCAGCTAAGTTTGACCAAATAGAGCATTTCAACGACCACATGAGGATGCATGTGTCAGACGGATAAGTAGAATCTCTCTCTCTCTCTTTGTTATGAACAACAAAAATAGAAACAACAAAAAAAGCTATGGCACTAGAATTTAAGAAATTATTTTTGTTTCATTTTTACCTTTATTTTCCTCCTTTTTTTGGGTTCATTTCATTTTGTTGGTTTTTGTACTACATGAAGAACTGTTTTTTGCCTGCTGGTACATTACATTTCCGGAGACTGGGTGAATAATAATTTTCCCAATCTCCCTCGGATGGTGGCCTTAAGGCCAGGTAGTGCTTCATGAGCTCCACTGGTTGGATCTCTAGCTACTGGCCTCTAAATACAACCCTTCTTTACTACAAAAAGCAAACAACAAAAAAAAAAAAACACAAAAAAATTAAAAAAAAACAGACAAAAATAATAAAAAAAAATCTTTTTTCTCACTTGTGAAGAGCACTACAAATAAAGAAACAAAGCAAAATATATTACAAATCTACAAGGCCTACTGTCGTTTAAAGTACACCGCTTGCAGTGTTTCAATGGACATGATTCACATTGCTGACCGCTTTTGGACTTCACAGTATCCAGTTAGAACTGTGGAATATTTTGCTTCTGGTTGAGCAGCAACCAGAGGAAACAAGGCCCTGCTGGTTTCCACCACGTGTCTGCTTTCTCACACACACATGCATCCACAAACACACAAAAAGGGCTGAGGGGAATGCGAGGCAGTGTGGCTTGGATAGTGTGGAGTCCCTGCAGGGCGAGGAAAAAGAATCAGAGGTTCCTCACCTGGATTCTGCTCCATCCCACGCTGTCCGGCGCACCCTCCCCGCTGCTTTTCTCATACCACCACCACCTTATAGCAGAAACCAAGAAGATACAGACAACGAGCAACGGTGGCTTTTTTGTAATTTATTCAGTGTCTTCGCTGAGCACAGGGCCTCAGCACAATCAAGAGGGACTTTCACAGAAGGCAAAGAGAAACACAGAGGAAAATCAAAAATATCAGAGGTTGCAACCTATGGATCTAGGTACAAGAGAAGGGTTAGTTCCCACAATCTTTGCAAAAAAAAAAAAAAAAGTTGCATCAGGATTTATTCTTGTGGAAGAAAGAGAATAGAGGGTGGGAGGGGAGGGGAATAATAATTAAAAAAAAGAGTTGTTGGGTCTTTTTTAATTCAAAATTTTATAGAGGGGCAAAAGTGACGTTTACCAGATAGAATGCTGATTTTTTTAATATATTTACAACAGTATTTGTGTAAAAAAACAAAAAAGTGAGATTGTTAAAAGTAATTTTTCTTTGTTTTCTTTTTTGTTTCGCATACACTGCCACTAATATCTTCTCTTTTATTATATATATGAATATATATATAAATATATATTTTATTTTAAATTGAGACTGTTAAGGTTAGCTAACCTGCTTCCAGATAGAGGGGGGGAGGGGAAATAATCTTGATTTTTATTTTAAAAAAGAGGAAGGATGTTTTCTTAATTTTCTCTTCTAGTATTATTCTCTCTGTTTTCTAATGGAATCAAGAATTACCTGGGTCGATGAGGGGCTCTGTGAAGTCATCTGTGAGATTATCTACTAGTGTTTGTGCATCCTGCAGTATCATTTGAACTGCTACTTTGTTTTTCTGAATTACACGGTTCTCTTTTTGGCCCTTACCAAGCTTCTGTTGTTTTCTTTTTGGTTCCATCTCAGAATTTATTTCTGCTGAAGGACATTTCCTTTTGAGAAAGAGATTTTTCTAGTAATGTTCCCTTGTATTTGGGGATGATATAAACTGTAGTCTTTCTTCTTTGAAAAAGTAATGACAGTTTTGAAGTGTGTAAATTTCCCTTCTTTTTGGTCACTGGACAAGAATTAATCTGCTGTATTGTTCTCTCATCCCTGCCTTGCTCGCTAGAGAGCTTCCATATTTTTGTGGGAATCTGATCCTGCCCCCGATAATTTGTGCTGATGCCAAAACAACTTAAAACATTACCATTGCAAATAATCTTCCCTTCATTTGCAAAAAGTCTGACTGAAGGGCCACATCCCACATTCTCTGCATAGACAAAGCTATGAAAGGAATGTAGGATCAGTGTGAAAGATTGATTCCTAATCTGCATATATATGTTGGTGGTTTGTATTTTGTTTTATTGTGTTTGGACTGGTGTTCTCCCTAGTTGTCTTCTGTGTATCTGTGTAAGAATTTTTCCCCCAAAGCCAATTCCCAAAGTACGTGGGTCCTTAGTTCAGTTGGATCAGTGTTTGACACTATCTTTGTCTTGCTTGAAATCCATGTGAGGACTTACACCAACTGCACTCTGGACTTCATATTTTAGGCAGAGAAGAAGCACCTAACAAAAATATGCAAAAAGGAAAAAAAGAAAAAATGCTAGTTTAGCTTTTACTTGTGTCTATATTTAAATTAAGCTTTCTTAAGTTTACAAAACTTTTTGCTTGTGAACACTGAGCATTTCACATGAGACATTCTTTTATGCTGGACAACTTTCTGCGTATTGACTTTGTAGATCTCCATATACAATTTTGTGTGTTCTTTACACCTGCAGCTTCTCTATCAGATGCCTGTGATTCAGTACAGGTAACTTCATCCATATGTTCTGTGCCTGTTCCATTGCCATTTATTTGGGGGAAAAAACCTGACAGGTGGTTCGGTCTCAGCATCTTCCGGTACCCTGCAAGGTACTGTTCAGCAGATCCTAAATGCTGAAGCCCAGATTCTTGGCGGCAATATGCAGCATAGAGAGACCTTGAGGTGAGTGCCAGAGCAATTCAATCTTTTATATGGTAATGTCTTTCTTTGTTACCAGTTTGTTTGGGTAGTTCAAGGGGCTGGAGAAGGAGCACAAGTTTGTTAACAAATATTGTTCTAATAACCTCACTGGTAAAAGCAATGCTGCCATGTAAATCAAGATGTGAAAGACACAGAGAGGGAAAACTAGAGCCTAGACAAAACGTTGAAGGTTTTTCTTTGGGGAAAGGAGTATTTTTTTCTGAGCTCTTTGGTGTCAAAGAATATTCTGTCATATGAGGAACTAGTGAAGAATTTTACCCAGCTTACAGATATGTAGCTGCTCATTTGTCATCTGAGGTCTGGGGAAAAGCTGTTTAATTTGCCGTTGTAAACCTGGTGAACTGTAGTCAAGATGTAGCATATTCTGGAATGTACTTCTGATACCAGAAGAGATATGCCAGTAAACACGAAATAAGAATCAGGGTCTACATCCACCAAAATCCAAATACTATCCAAATTTTAATCCTTCCGTTTTCATCCTTCCCTAAATCAAAGCATTATCTTTGAAATGCCAGTTTTTATGAAGTCTAATGAATTTGAAGTGAATTAAAGATAAGTTGTGAATGAATGAATGAATGAATGAATGAATGAATGAATGAATGAATGAATGAATGATGCCAATTTAAAAAAAATAAACGTAGTTCTTAACGTAAAGTTAAGGCATACTAGATTGAATTCTAAAACACTTGTCAAAGAATTTAGGCCTAGGTTTTCACAAATGCCTGTCTGTAATATAAACTGATTTGCTGGACTTCCAGACTTGATCTTGTAAAACATGGAGGAACTTGGAGCATGACTGCAAATGTGGCTGAAAGTGCTTGTCAGGTCATTCTGAATTTAGAAGCTCAAATATAGTCCCCTTTATCTTTTGAAGTGTTAAATTCTTTTTGGCAGTTCTTCCTCCCATCTTTGAAATATTTAGTTGCTACTTGTAAACAACTATAAAATCTGAATGTTACAGGTATATTCAAGCTTCATATATTGCTACTATATGCCTTTGCAAGAAGAATAGCAGTCACAGTGATCTGGAAACTACTGCTGACAATGTTTGAGCGAATCTATCTCAGTATGCTTGAAAGGCTTCCTTCAAAACACCTGATGAAATGATACAGATGAGAAAATGCAGACTGTAGCACACATCCTTTTGTTGAAGCATGCAGTATCCTGCATTCCTTGAGCTTGATTCTCACTTTTGCTAAAGCTCTCTTTATATTGCTTTGGTAATGGAAAAGGCCATTAAATAGAACATAAATTCAAGCTTACAAGTCAAGGTCTCTCTGCAAGGCAAAAATGCAATAAAGGAAGCCTTAGAGTGAATGAGAAGTGCCTTCTCTTACTGCTGTTGAGGCTGGTGAAGTGAATTGGAAATGCAGGACTGGCCAGAGCAGATCTCCCCTATGGTCCATCTTACCCAATACTACATCTCTGCCGTTTGGCAAGCTAGAGATTATTTGAATGAAGATGAAAGGCCTATGTTGGATTATTACAAAGCAATAAGCCTAAGGGAGAACATTTATTATATAATCCTCGTTAGCTATTTCTACATATAAAATACATATAAATGTATTTGCCTATAACCTAAAGGCATAATAATTTATGACTTTATCTTTTTATCCCATATAAAAATTATATATTGTGGCAGATAATTCTCATTGTTCTTCAAAGATCTAGCTTATTCATTTTTAGGTGGCCTCCATGCTGTCCTGTGGGAGTTCCTCCGGTTAATTACCACTTTGTTTAAATTATTCTCTTTCAAATTTATTTTGTTGTTCATTGAAACACCCTTATTCTTGTACTATGTGAAATCACAAATGAGAGAACCAAAATTTAACTTCTCTTGCCTATTTCACGGAGGTCTGCCTCTCTCTGGGAAGCTGAATCCACAAGGAATGCAGGACCACAAGCTCAGTGTCTGTTGATTAGCAAGGAGAGGACAGCTCCTGAGTGTGTCCGTGTGTGTCTGGGGTGTGTGCATTTGCTTTTGCTATTAGCGAGGTTCTCCTATAGTGATCTCTTGCAGGTTACTTGCAGGCATGACTCATAAATAATGGAAACCTAGAAGCACAGTAACCAGTCTGTAAATTGTAATATGATATTTCAGTCTGGTCCCTCCTCTCATAAAGTCCATATTAATAGTCTCTCTTAAGGGAAATGGGTGTAGGTGTTTTGTAGGAACTGCTCTGAAGACACTTTCTCAACATCTATCATGCTTCTACTAGGCTGACTTCTGCCCCATGTTGTTGCCTTCAAAAGCAGCTCAAGTTCCCAGTAAGGTAACAGGGGAGAGTGGCATTTAATTGACTTTCTAAGTGAATGAGACTTCCCTTTGCTCTGAGATCAAAGAGCCCAAGTGGAGTCCATTTTTCTTCTTTCAATTTCTTTTTCATCCAAAGGAGAGCTGAGTAATAACACACATACCATCAGCACCCCTCTTCTTATCAGCCCCACTGACTGAGTTCAGTCAGCCTTGAGCTACTTGATTAATGCTGGATCACCAACATGGTGGAGGAATGAGTCGCTAGCCTTTAGTGAGTATTGTCCCAACATCTCCTGTCTCCCTTAGTAGTGAAAAGTAGTCCCAAAGGGAGAAGGTACAAGACATACTCTTTGCAGGGGTGTTGAGTCCAGTCAAAAATCAGAAGCACCCAAACCATTTCAAACACAACCAGAATGTCATAGATCTATGACCCTCTTGACAGTCCTACGCTAAGGAAATCCTCCAGCTCTCTCAAAGGAAAAGATAGCATGAGCCTGGAAAAGAGAAGGGTCCAGATAGACCATTGAGAACCTGACAAGAAGGCTGGAGAGGGACCTTTCACAAGGGTATGTAGTGATAGCACTGGGAGGAATGGCCTTAAGCTGACAAACTGTAGGCTTAGATTAGATATTAGAAAGAAATTCTTTATTATAAGGCTGGTGAGATACTGAAACAGGTTGCCCAGAGAAGGCTGTAGGTGTTCAGGATCAGGCTGGATGGGGCTCTAAATAACATGGTCTAGTGGGAGATCCACTGCAGATGGTGGGGGGGATTGGAACTAGAAGATCTTTAAAGACTCTTACAACCCAAACCATTCTATATTGCTATGATAATATCAAATTAGCATCTAGTGGTTGTTCTGCCAAGAAGAACTAGGCCTTGATAATTAAAATAACCCCTTTTAATTCAGCATCCAGGTCCTCTGAGCCACTGGAATAAATGTGATAGGAAAGAGTCAGCAGGTAGGCTAACTGAAGCAGTATCTGATCAGCCTGAAGCAAAATAGCTGCTTTTCACATTCCCTGATTTGTTCTCATACTGGCTGTGAAAATTCATGAAGGAGGTATAAAGTGATGAGAACTTGGCCCTAAGAGGTTTTGAGCCTCCTCCTCTCAGAAGGTTTGTCTTCATCTGACCACTAAACAATCATAATTCTGCTGAAGAAAGGTTTGTGAGGGAACCTACAGATAACACATTAAGTCTGGAATCTTGAGATTGTAAATGCATTGAACAACTTGCCAGCATTTGACAGTCCTGCTGACAGAAACCAAATGCAGGTTGAAAGGCCTTGCAGAGGGTCAGGTGCTGAAAATGCAAGTGTCTGCAGCAGGTGAGTTAGACAGGCAAGTGTATGGAGGTGGCCTGATGCTGGATACACGTCCACGAGGGCTGGTTCTGTCCATGCCAAGTCAGTGTTCTTGCTGCTGTTCACCTTATTTGTCATGCAAGAAGTAATAAGCTCTCTGCTAGTTTCCTTTAAAGCTACTTAGTGATCCAGTTCATTGCAGCCAGAGCAAAGGAGCCTCCATATTTTCACAGATCACTAAGATGGAAAATATAGAGGGAGTTTTAGGTATGTGCATATTCTTCAAACTGACAAAACAAAAATGTGGGTTATGCCTTCTCTAGCATAAAACAGAGAAATTTGGTCCACAAGGGACACAACCTGTTTGAAAAAGAGGAACACTTAACTCTCTTAGACCTATTGTTATGAGGCAACACAAGGGGGAATTTTTGTTTTGTTTTGCTAAGAACATATGTAAATGAGAAACAAGATGTTTATAGTGTATATCCATCTAATTATTCCCAGTGCTGATAACTAATCAATTATATTAGTGCCTCTAAGAATAGAGAAAATATTATGCATTCAGTGTTGTTATTTCTGCCCCCCCTCTGCTATAGATCAGGAGTACCTAAGGTGAAAAGAGCAGAGTTACACAAATGAGAAATTCTGGTGAACAAAAGAATTACTTCCCTGTGTAGGTGTGCCAGCATCTGGACAAATATCCTCTCTGAGTTAGAAAGGATATCTAACTACATATCTAACAGGATACTGTTAGATAATTTTAATTTGAAAATTATATTTCTAGTGAAAAAAATGCAAAGTTAAATATTAATCCATATTTTTTCATTATATATTTAGCAGTGTTGCTGATCTTTTTTATTTTAGCCTCTGCAGTAGTGTTTGACTCACAGGTATTAAGAGAGAGTCCAAGACAGGAGAAGCAGAGATTGCAAATGTACTGTGAATAAGATTGAAAAGTAAATTGAACTCATAATATGCTTTAATTCACTATTCATGCTGCAACTAAAGAGTTTCTAGGTTTATTTTAAAATTAAAAGGAGTCAAATATATTCTACACTTCATTCCAGCAAAGTCATATCAGGAGAAAAGTAAATAATGTTTTTTAAATGCCAATTTCCCCTAGAATTGTTAATTAATAGCTTTTAAAATAAAAGGGGCCAGTTCAAGATAAGCAGAACTCTGATGCTCTAACACAATCCTTAATGTTACACATGATCATAGTTTCCACTCCCAGACCTATGAGAACTCCACTGACTTTCCCCAAAGTCAGTGAACTGAGATTTTTGTGCACAGCCACATATGCCCAAAGAAAAACTTCATTTTTCCCTTCGGTAAAGGAGAGTAGCACTGAGGTAAGCAAACCAATCATAGAACCATAGAATCATTAATGTTGGAAAAGGCCACTGAGATCAAGTCAAATCATTAAACCAGCTCTGCTAAGCCTACCACTCAACCATGTCCCCAAGTGCCACATCCATGCATGTTTTGAACACTTCCAGGGCAGTGATTCCACCACTTCCTTGGGCAGCCTGCTTCAATTTTGCCTTCTTTTTAGTCAAGAATTTTTTCCTAATATCTAATCTGACCCCCTCCCCGATACAACTTCTGGCCACATCCTCTCATGCTATCACTTGTTACCTGGGAGTAGAGACTAATCCTCACCTAGCTACAATCTCCTTTCAGGTAGTTTTAGAGAGTGATTGAAGTTCCCCTTCAACCCCCTTTTTCCCAGATCCCTCTGTGGAGCCTGCTAAATACTGTGTTAACTGTATTTTAACACCCCAATTTAGACATTTGTCCTCAACTATTTTTCAAAAAGCAAAGAACATTAAGATATTTCTTTGGGAAGTAAATACACTACAGCCTTGAATACACTACAGCTTCACAGACAATTGATTTAAAACAGAAATATATCTGAGCACTATGAAGTGTGTTTATGTTTGGTATCTGTAGCAAAGTTGTACTTTTCTTACAAAATATATCATGTTTTTCTCTTTGAAAGAGTAGGGAAGAAGGAATGTTAGTGAGCCATAGCAGTCTCTTCATACTGGATGGTGCTTTTCTGCTGTTTCTTACCTTCAGTTACAGCTCCCAAGTTTATTCCTTTTCCAATGTGATCTACTTTTGATTGGTTGGTTGCCATCTGCTCCCTGTAAAACTCTGGAGGGAAAATACTCTTCCTAAATCAAATTAATAATATGGGGGCATGGCTATGTGGTTTGACTCCAGCCTCTCCAATGCCAGTGAAATTCATGAGAGAATCCAGTGAAAAGTTACTTTCAAGGGACAAATTCTGTTCTGAATTTCTATCAGTGCAACCTGGATTGGCACTTTCGGGATTGCACGCATTTCACTGCAGATAAATATAGCCCCTTTGGTTAGTTTAGCTTGATTCTTTTTAAGAAAAGTATGTTCTAAAAATATCCTTTTGCTGCACCATTACACAAACAAAAGAACTACCAATATCCCATCACATGTGAGAAGTTCTACCCAGTTCAGCCCAAGGGGGCATTATTGTTTTCACTCCTCATGCAAACTTTATTAGCACTTGAGCCCTCTTTGAGCTGTGAAATTTCCTTCACAGCCATGCAGCCATGCCCCAAGCATCCCTCTTATAAATGCTCTCTGTCACGTTGGGCTTAGGTATTACAGTAACACTATATATGCTTTCATGAGTTCCCCACTGGAGGCGTCCCTGCTGGAAAATCTTGTACCAGTGTAATAAAGCATTGCTTGCTTTAGGTATTTTCCAGACAGACCTGCAGGCTTCTGCAGTGTTCGGTCTGTCTACTACTGACTTGTTGGTGATTTTTTTGCCAAGTTCACAGGGGCACTCAAGGAATGTGCAGAGCTCAGTTAGGTACTTGTGCTCAACTGTCTGATTCTGCAGTGTCCTGTTCCTACAAAACAGGCAGGTATCTTTCTGAGATCATTTTCCTACAAAATGGGCAGATACATTTCTGAGATCTAGATGTTAATTGGGAACCTCTTCTATTTCACTTTGCTGCTTCTCTTTCTGCCACCTGGATATTGCCATTTTCTTCATTAAACCATATAAAGCCTCCTAGAAGTTCAGCCCTCATGTTGAAGATATACTTGATTAAAGAGGATCATCGCATTCAAGAAACAGGATTATATTCACCCAACTGCCCAGATTTCTTTTAATTTTTCCCATTTAGTCCTTTACTTTCATTTGTCACATAGGCTGTTGGTACCTATGGGATCTTTGAGTAAAATCACATTATATTGCCTGTGGGTGCGTGTCTGTGTGTGTGTATGTGCATGTGCAGGGAAAGCCAAACACTTCTTCCTGGCTTTACAGAGAGCTTGCTAATTGAGTGTGTGGACATGCATGGTTTTGATGCAGGGAAGGCTTTAGACGAAACAAGGATTACAGAATTAACTGTGGAGCATTGGCACATGACTCTAATGAAAAGCAAGTATACTACTCATACACTATATATGCACACATATATTCAAAAAAAGCATTCTGTTAGCCAGATGCTCTTAGTTGGATGTTTGCCCAAATAGGATGAAAATGTGACACCCAAATTTGGTCCAGGATATTTTTGTGAGCACCCATTCTGAAGGGAAGGCTGAAGTGTGCCTCCCAGAGCCTTATGTTGTCATTCTGCCACAAAATAAATAAAACAGTCCATCTCAGCAGGCTTCACTAGCAGAGAGAGGCATCCACGGGGGATGGCAGCCCTGGAACAATACTGTTGAGTTCAGTCACTCATTTCCATTGAATTTCAACATGTTTACCTGACAAAGGAATAAAATCCAAAGCAAAATAACCTGCCTGTTTGCTCTCTTAAAAATAACAGTAAAAAATTATCAAGCCTTTAAATAGTTAGCAGCACAATATATTGATAGGGTCTAAAATATTCCAGGTCTGGAGTCTCTAGTTTCCAAAGCATCGTGTCAAACAGCTCTTTCCCCACCTCAGGTACTCTGAAACATATTGATTGAGTAATCCATTCCAAATGTGCAGTCAATAACAAATAACAAGTAACATTCTCTCCCTTGGTCTTTGCCAAAATCTCTTCAGGATCATGGTTAGTGGGTATTATCTGAATATCAGTAGATATTCAGGAGGAGAAGAAATTGGTCAGTAAGATCATTCAACATATAATCCATGAGAGCTGCAGAATTTCTAGAACTCATTTTGCACCCATTTAGTTAGTGGGTTGAATATGTTTAACTACAGCTGCCTATTTTGGTATATGCTAGCCCTGAAAGCAGCATTTTATTCTTTTAAGTCTTTTGCCAGACTAGGGGATTTTCCTTGTTCCAGAAAGGGTAATTAAAGATTTAGTGGGCTACCTTTTTTCTTTCATTTTCAGTCATAAAAATGTGAGTAAATATTCTTCTTAGACTGGTGGCATGTCCCTTCCCCTTTTGAATAAGACAATAATGCAACAGTTTTGGCTGGTTGATTTTTGGGTGAGATTTTTATTTTGGTTTGGGGTTTTCCTTTGGTTAAATGTACATTGTCTCTTTATAGTCCAAATGTCTGTGACTGTAACAGTATGTATTTCTTTTACTGGAGAAAATAGACTTTTTGGTTTTTGTTAACAGTACTAGTGACTTTGTGGAAAATGACAAGTTGCTATTTAGATCTGCTTAGTTAAGTACAGTACACTACAATACAGTATTTCTGAAAGCTAGAACATACAGTACACAATATATATAGCAATTCTATATCAATATATATACATAGTATAATCATTTAACTTTTGCATCTGCCTACGATCATAGAAAAATAATTTTTCACATTTATCATTCACAACCCAATCAACTGCTGCAGCTATTTGAAGCATTTACCAATAATTATTACAGCTCTATTGTGTTGTTTCATATTATTGGCTTCTTTATTGTCTTTACAAGCATTTTTTCAGGCTTTCTTAAAATCTCTATGTAGTAAGATGTAGAAAAGTAATTTTTTTAAAGAAAAGGTAAAACAGTATTAAGCTGTACAAAAAATAGAGATTGTTCCTTGCTACCCTTTCATATCAGAAGAACAATCAATCAACACAAATATCTATTAGCTCTCTTCTAAGATGTCCTGTTATTTCATTTCTAAAAGTGTACGTCAGACTTTTCCTCTTCCATTCCTAGCCTTGGAGAACGATGGCAAAAGTGGTCTTTCACTCCTTCCAAATCCTATTTCTTTAAAGTTTTAAGATTTCCTAAAATTATCCTCTGCACTACGGTGGGGTAGAAAAAACATTGTTCTCTGTATAGTTACACAGAATGTGGATTGAATAAGAAATACCTCCATCCACAACTATTAATATATTCCAGTTGGATCCTTACTTATCCACTTGATCACCCCTTTTTCAAATGAAAACAACCTCTGAAAGTTTTAGTTTCAGTTCATAAGCTTTTCTAGGTGAATGTTCCCTTTACAATCTTCATAGTACATTCCTGTTGGTTTTGAATTTTGGGTCAGTCCCATTGGACTTTAATTGTTACCACAAAACTTCTGAAAAATATGTCACTAGGGATATGTTAACATCTAGATCCAAAGTGCCCAGGAACAGCTGATTGACACCCAAGGCTCATGACTTTGGGTGTCCTTTCTGTATTCACACCTTGCAACAGATGGCCCAGGCAGCAAGCCTTGGTTCAAAATTAAGAGTGCAAAATTATGAGAGTATGGACATTTATGTTTACTTTTCTAATTGAGGTACATCTAATTCAGCTGACTTTCTTTCCTTTGGTGGATAACATATCACCTCTAAATGAAAATGTTCAAAATCAAGTGGATGAGGGTTGTGGAGGAGGTATTAATTTTGTCTCATTTCTTCTAATTGTGAAGACATGAGAGAAGAAATGAGAGATGGTCACATCAGTTACAAACCATTTTCAATGAGAACGAGCAAATCTGTGTCACTGCAAATTGATAAAGTTTTTTTAGAGTAAGAAGAGAGGGAAAGCGTTACCTATGCCACAGCTTGGGATTTTAAAATGAGAACTTCAAGAATGAGAATTATCAAGTGCTGGCATTCTCTCTTGTCATCTGCCATTTGCACGTACGTGGAGGCCACTACCACATACTTTTTCTTTCTACTTGGAGTTTAAAAGTTATGGTCTTCCAGCAGCGATTTCTAAGTCTGGCTTTCCTTTACTCTGTGTATACCCATTTGTACGGGAAGGAGGGGACTATCCTCTCAATATTAGTTACGCAGATAACAAAACTAGATTTTTGCATGAAGGGTGAGCTTTGTCCCATTAAGCCAAACAGGTGCCATTTCCCAAATTAATTCCAATTAGCTGCTGCAACAGAGTGCTGATTCAGTGGTCCACATTTTCTGACCATGCCCTTTGCCTTTTCCTTTGACTGAATGCTGAAACATACATATTTCTGTAGAGAGTGTTCTCACTTGACTGGGAATACCAGATCATTTAAATGGCTGCATACCCATTCCACACTTGGCCTGCTAATCCTTTGTAAGGTTCAGTAATTCATTTAGCATAAATACTAGTTTAATGTGTTTCTTGATTTAATTTCTTTGTTGCCTTTTATTTTTCCTAATGCTTTTTTAAACACCTCAATTCATTTTGCATGTTATACAGTTTACAGTTTATATTTTTAGGCTAAGAAGTGGTTTTACAAACAGGATGGTACCAAACAGGTAGATTATCCACACTAGAGACTGTACTTTTAGAATGCAGTGTGTACAGATACAATTGCCTAAGGGAAAGTGAAACTAACAAAATAATCAGCTGGTGAACACTATTTTAACATATCTTCTACATAAAAGACAGTCAGTCATTCGTGATTCCAGAAATCTTGCTTTTTTTGAACATGTATCCTTTCTTTTTCATTCTCTGAAGAAATACTCATCTTGAGAATTGTGATGTTTTAAGAAGCTCATTTCATATGTGCATATTTTCTGCTTTTCTAAGGAGAGAGAAAACAGGAGGTGATATCAATTTTACAGTTCTAAATATTCTTGCATTGGCAACTTTCCTTGAATGATATAAATATCAAGGGAAGACTCTGTCCAAATATTAGCTTTATTCTAGTATATGGTTTTCATTATTACTTTCATTTTCCATCTCCTCGTTGCCCAAGTAGACTTCCAGGGCTAATGCAAGCAACGGTCTCACGTTTCAGTGGTTGTCAGCATTTACATTCAGCTCCTTTTTGCACTTCTTTTCTGTTTAGTACAGCTTTTGAGGAACAACAGTTGAAGTAGGTAACACTGTCACCACGAGAGGGAGAGCCTTGTACTAAGATGATGTTGCTCTGTGCTACTGTGCTGGGACAGAGAGGGATTTTAAAGCTATTTGCTGCAAGGTTAAATAAGAGGGGAGTGTCCCACTTTGGGGATGTTTGCACCAAAGACAGGGGTCCTCCCAGGAGAGGGAAATGCTTGAACTCCATACAAGGGACTTGCTCTTCACCTGTGCCACTTAGAGGAAAAGACTGAATCTCCAGTATCTGCTGCTTCTCTTTTTTTATATATTAATAACTTGTAAACAATTTATAGTTCCTATTTATTGGTGAAATAAGTGTCACCACATTTAAAACTATGTCTTCACAAGTATCTTCAACAAGCTTCATTGTTTTTCGGGGTGTCCTGTTTCCTTTGTCCTTATGCCAGGCTGTTGTGAAACTGATAGGAGTCCTTTAAATCTGTAATTTATTCCCAATTTCATATGTTCTGAACAATCAGTTCCCTAGATCCTTGCTCCAAAGTTCAGGTTCAAAGAAATTCTCACAATGAGTTAAGTTGGAAAATTGGTTTCCCATTCTCACCACCTATAATGAGCTTTTGTTTGTCAAATATAAAATAAAAAGGCAGGATGTACTTCATGACTTTGCTTGCCAGCATCAGTGAGGTCCGTGCTTAGTCCTGAAAACTGCTTGGACTCTGTGGGCCAAATTTTGCAGGCAGGACACACTTGCCCTTTTGTTGACTTGAGTCAATTTTCTCTGACAGAGAAAGCATATGTAGTCCTACAGAAAGCTGTAGTCCTGAAAAATAGTTTCATATATGTTATTTAAGATGCCACAGGACTGTTTCCCAAAATTCAGCTTGTTTCTGCCCAAAGTTTTTACTCCTTATAAAACTGACTCAAGATTTAATTTCACTCCACCAGGCAGATTTTGCCTGTGTTAAGGTCTATGCGATTACATAGTCCCTCCTTCTTGCTGGGAGACTTAATTCAAAAAAGTCCTACAGAGCATGACAGTTGCTTCCCTTTATACAAGACTTGGAACTTGCTTTTTTCAGAGAGTCCTAAATAGCTTTGAGTCTTTCTTTGGATTTGATTGGTGATTATATGTTTATCTTAAGTAATTAAATAGTGAGCCACAACAGGTAGTGTAGATACATGATTCATAGCAATCCCTTTTCCCTAATTTACACCCTTGATATGTCACTTTTCTATTGCCAGAACAGTGTAGAAATATTTGGGTATTGGATATTTGGAGTTGATTCCAGGTTTCTGACTGCTTTAGCCAGAATTGCTCTGGTCACACCTTTTCTGTTATGGTAGTCATGTATTGATGTGGGTAAAATAAAGTTGTTTCTTTATAATATTTGATTATGTAACTGCAAATTCAGACTATACATCAAACTTTTTAGTAGAGTTTTAAAAAGTGCTCCTGCATTGGGTGTGCAGGAGAATTAGATAGCGTGAACATCATTTTAGCAAAAAGGCAGGATCCCCTTGGAGTACATTCAGCTAAACAGTCAAAAAATTCATTGGCGCTGATTATAGTGGCTAAATTGAAGTGTGTAGACTTTACAGAACAGCTGGCAAGTGTTATTCATTTTGTGACTTGTATGCTCGGGCATGGGCTGCACCACTGTAGCCCTGCACCCAGGGACAGTGGGTTTAGGTGCTGTCCCTTTGCAGTGCCTAGTGATTCCATAATGTGCTCTTTATTTTTCATTATAGGCTCATTGGTAAAGATAAACAGCAAAAGTTCTTGCAGCCTGGCATTTTTCTGGTTTAGAGGTAGATATTCAGGATCCCTGCACCCCTGTTTAGATTCTTTCTCTTAGGTTATTTCCTTGTTTCTACGCGTGCGGATGAAAGAGTGCACCTGCCTGGAGGGAAGGATGCAGTATCTTTGCAAGAGAAAGAAAAATGAGGAAGTTGCTTCTTGGTTGTAATTTGGTTTATCTGTTGGTATTTGCTTTTGTTTACATTGTGGGGTAGGCTGCCATCTTCAACAAAGGACTGGGAGTGAGGCAAGGGGCAGAAGGTAAGAGGGAGCATGTGCCTGAGCCCAGATGAAGCAGCTTGCAGTATTCCTTTATATACTGAGCAATTACAATGGGATTAGTATAGCAGCAGCAGCATTGCCCTGATGTATTCCATTTTCCATACATTTCCCTTTCTTTCTCCTCCTTCCCTGTTACAACATCTTACCCTGTTTTAGTGGTTCTCCACACTCCTTTCCAGTAGTTGCAAGGATTTGATGGAGGCTCTTGTGGCTGTCCAAATTGAAGTTGTAACCTCCAAACTGATGAATACCCCAAAGTCTTTGCTGTGTTTTCCCAAGTGATATCTTAATGAGTGGCAAGCCCTGGCAGATATTTTATTTTGTTAAAATAGGTAGCCTAGGGGACGTATGATTTGACTGGGATTCAGTAAGTTGCTTGCCTTTGTAATTAGTGAGCTTTATTTTGTTTTCCTTTTAAGTTTTCATTTTGAGGTACCTAAGAATTTATATGCCTGTCATTAAAATTCCTGCTTTTCCCACCATAGCCCTAGATCAGCTGTGGAAAAAAAAAAAAAATATATATATATCCCCAAGTATTTGCAGGATGGAGTAAGGAGTTGTTCATGCACATGTGTGCCTATGTGAGCAGGAGAAAACTGAAGTTAGTGTTGATCTGTCCAAGTGTTTTAGGGTGGCCATTGAGAGCTGCCACTTAGAAAAGTTGATTGCACTACAGAACCTTAGCTTGGGCACTGTTAAAATAGGGACTGTATATTTGGAACAGGGAAGCTTTTTAGTTTTTTTATCCACACACATGCCCTTTGCAAGGTGTACCCTTGCAAAGTTTGCATTAGACAACTCTGTGTAAAACCACTACTGACCTTTTTTTGCTGTATCCATTTAGTTCTCTCTCTTTTCTGCAGCCCCCAAACCATGGCTTGTCTCCTTTCTGATTTCTGTCATGTTACTGTTTTTGATAAAAGTCCTATCTGTTAATGAGTTCTCCACATTGACCGGGAGGAGAGAAAATGAGGCATTTGCAAGTGTGGCTGGGAGACTGCAAATCCCCCTTTGTTTAGGGGCATTCATATACTTTTACTGAGAAGCTGATTTCTTGGGGGCTGGGTTGGGGGGGAGGGAGTTTGTGCTTTTTTGGTCTGGATAAGGCTTTTTATTTTTGCACTAAGTATGACTGCACTGCACTGCATTGCACTACTGAAATGTATTTACATGTGGTGGGATTGGAAGGGGCCAATTAAGCAGGAAGGGAGAAGAGAAAGGGATAGGCATAAAAAACAGGATGTACCATAAACCTGACCAAGGTTGAAAGAGAGGTGAGGTTACCTTAATTTTAAGCAACTAGTCAGACACTGAGACATCTGTATTGGATACCTTCTGTTAAAATAAATAAATAAAGCACTGTAGTAGAAACTGAAGAGGCATCACAAGTTTCTTGGTGCTACAGATCTTTTCTCCCCTTTTTAGAGAGTAGTCTTCGGGCCTGTGAGAAAGTTAAGAGAACTGCTCATTGTGTAAACTAGCGTAAGGTTTCACCATAAAGACACAAATTCCAATTTGACAAGTTCCAATGTCAAAACTTGCATTGTTGGATAGACTCTCTTCCAGAGGTTTGACATTGATTAGCATCCCTTCAGTAAAAGCAGGATCTCTCAGCTCAAGAAGTGAAGTCACAGAGCAGACTTTACCAAAGGGGAAAGTCACTGAAATAAAGCACGTCTTTCTGAGGCTGTTATGGGAACAGTGCAATAAACAGTCATTCTGAACACTCAATTACAGGTGTTCCAGTCAAGCCTTCGGGACAGAGGAAGCAGGAGGGACATTTGGTCAAAAAAAAAGGTGGTGTGGAATTCAGTACATACAGAAATATTCCTGCTTAGACAAAGGTGCTGTCTAACATTTTAAGTTCTTCTTTCTGATTTCTCTCCTTAAACAGATAGTCTAGCATTGTGAAGGCTTTCAGTTGGAACCAAATAGAATCCTAAGTTGGGAAGTATTTTTACAGTCAAGATGCATGTGGGCCTATGCCTTGGTCATTAATTTTAACAAGCAATTGTTAACAAGCATACTATGAGAAAAACGAAAGCAGTAGCAATGTGCAGCAAGATCTATCTCGGCTGTAGCTCTTTGCGATCTATGAGCTCTCAAAAGTTTGTGTTGAATCTCTTCAGTAAGACTATAATTGCAGCTTTAGCCAGGTAAAACAGGATATTGAAAAATGTTCTGTAGAGGAACTGGGAGAAGAATGTAAAACATGAGTTCATCTGCTTTGGTCCTGTAGTGGAGAGATTGCCTGTCTGATGTATCACAGGGTTTCATGGACAGAGAAGAGGATTGCTAAGAAAAGAATTACTAACAAAAGGCTAGAGTAATTGGAGGACTAGAAATCTATTCATGCCCTGAACTTCGGCTTAGATTTGAAACTAAGGTTATTTTGGCTTCATTAGTACCAAGACATGGGTAGTACAGACCTTTCAGAGAGTGAACAATGCAAAGCAGATGCTACTGCTCAGTCTCTTGGGCTGCCTCGTTTGACAAAAGTGTCAAGAACTAAAGAGTGGTATGCAAGAGGCAGGTGTTGGGTGGGAAGGAACAAGTCTGGAACCAGGAGAGACTTTGGAGTTAAGGATATGTTGTTCTGGTGAGCTTTGAGATTTCCATTCTTAGAATCCAGCCGTCCTGGCTCGAATGGACTGGAAGAGAAGAACTGGAGATATGCCCTGATGTACTGTTAGATTAACTACTGAATGACTCTTCCCTTGAAAGCAAGCGGGACAGTGGAACATGCAGCCTGTTTCTTTGCCATCTGCAGGAACCCTCTAAGATGAAAAGGACACTGGAAGGTCAACTTCCAGTAATAAGTCAGTGGATGCCCAACAAAAACACAGTTTATTTGAGAGCCAGCATATACAGAGGCAGAACACCTTTGTTTTGTAAAGTGGCATTTGTCCATAAGAGTAGTGACAGTTACAGAGCTGTTATATGGAAGAAAATGAAATCTGTCTGCTGAAGTTAATTCATATAATGAGCCAATACTCCTTGCTTTTGCTGAGGTGAGTTTTTGTTTCCTTGTTTAAGGCAGCTGCATATATTGCTACTGTCAGAGTGGATTAGCATTGTTAAAGACGAGTAGTGGACTGCTCCAAAAAAAAAAAAAAGTGAAGCTGAGGGTTTACTGAGTCTGCTGTGTCCAGAGTGCCTTTCCTGCTGTGGTAAAATAAAGAACTTCTGTAGGTTGAGCTGTTCTGGCTGACTGATTGCTGCATATTCCTCCCTTGTGGTGTGACCTGATGGCAACCATATTTGGACAAGGAGAGGAACGCTGCATGTTTGCAATGCTGTGATAAGATGCCATTTGCACTAGTTTTTTAAAAGTACTGCAACCTGAAGAAGTGGGCTTTGAGCCATGCTCCAAATCTGGGTTTGAATTCAACCTGTTTAAACCTGATTCCAGCAGACTCAGTTTCAACAGAAGTGTCTAATCCGTGTAAACAAGAACAAACCATTTTTTAAAAGCCAAATTCTAGCTTATGTTCCCACTTGGTTACAGCGCTCACTCACACCAGTTCCTGGGCATAAGTGTGATTGTATAATTTTAATGGCTTTTAAGTAAGTTGTTCCTTTTTACATGGTCAGTTTGAAACTAGTTTAACTGGAACTACATTTAAATATAGCACAAACTCTTTTCGTTTTTTTCAGCATGGTACTATAGCCCCATGTAGACAGTGCTTGACTGAGAAACCAAGGATTACTTGAGGTTTATTTTAAGAAGCCAAAACATATGTTGCTGACTAGAGATGCCGCATAACTTAATGCCCTATTTTTCTCCAGATGGAGAAACACTAACTTCCATAATTCTCCATTTGTCATCCTGCTTCATTGTTGCACCTTTTCTCACAAACAAAAATCCCTTTGGCCAGTGGGCTAGATCCAAAACAGAATTCCCCGAACTGTTTGATCATTTTGTTTCTGTATGTTCCTTTCCTCAACATTGACAAGCACTACTGAGGATCAGCTTGAGTTTTTGCTGGGACTGTGTCATAGTTATGGCTCAAGAAAATGCTAGTGATATTTTCAGCATTATAGTAATTTCACTGCTTACCCTTGAGGAAAATGTTACATTTCAGAAGTTCCACTATAAAAAGAAAATGCCAGGATTCACTGTGGAGCTTCAATCACATTGCTGTAGCCAAGTTGGTAGGGAATGCATTTCTAGTGGCTGGTGATGCTGACATTTACAAAGGCAATTCAGAAGCAGCAGAGAATGTATGCTTTCTCATCCCTGCTGAACTAAGAGAATTTATACTAATGGAACGATCCCAGGGTAACCTGTCGGAGTTCATCACTTTTCCCCTAATGGAGGAGGCTAACCAACTGTCCCATCACCTTAGACAGCCTGAGTTCAAAACTGCTCCCCAATGACCTGCCAGCCAGGTGCCCTCTCTCACTGATATCCCACTGGCTGAGGATTTGTCACAATCAGCCAAGGTGACCAAGAGATACACTTGGCCTCACCTAGGAGCCTTTTACCTTTTCTTTTCCTTTTGGTTTTCTATCAAACCAGGTGTGCATTTAGTGGTGAAGTAGATGCCAGATTAGCTGTTGTGCCAGGTGACAGGAATGGCAAAGCCACATGGCAAATGTGCTCCTGTTGTCCTCATAGACATTGGTAAAGGTGAAAGACCAGGCTCTGGTTGGTGGTCTAGTTGTAAACCTACATCTTCTGCTGCTTGCCCCTCCAAACTTGTTTTGGTCAGCTATGTTGTTGCCCTCAAATATGCTTTGTGTGTGAAAAACTGAATGCGGTTGTTCTGTTGTCTGTCTTCTTTCTTCTGCATAATGGATGTGGCACCAACTTACTCTCACAACAAGTTTGAGTTTTGTTTTGCTATTGTTATTAACATGTAATTCTACTGTAGACCAAAAAATAAGAAAAGGAAAAGAAATCAGTTTCAAGACATAAAAGACCAGTGAGTGAAAGGTGAAAAATTTAGGAAGTGAAGGTGTGAGAGAAGCAGTGGTTAACTGTGTTAAGTTAGAAATCTCAGAATAGCCTTACGTATTTCTTAACCAATGCTTACCAATCATCTAGTAGTGGGGTTAGATAGCTTTCTTGGCTTATTCATACCTGTATCCTAATATATATATAAAAATAAGTTTTTAAATTTTTGTTTCTTTGGTATTGCTGTTGCACATCATGTTGTCTTTTATAATGCCTGATTTTTATTGTATTGTACTTTATCAGTCTGTTTTGGTTTTGTTTCCTTTTGAAGGATGGGAAAAGTAATGTTTCCTTTTTGTTTTGAATTTATGAGAAAAAAATGCACTGGAAGTAAACACAAACACATTTTGCCATTTGAAAAAAGGAAAACACACAGCCATGCAGTGGAAAAGGCTAAGAAAAAGCTCTCCTCTTCCTTCTTGTGCTGGAAGCATCCTTTAAAACTTTGCTAGAAAAAAAAAAAAACAAACTCAAACAGAAGAAGAGAGAAGCCTTTTTGATCCTAACTCTGCCATCTGGAATATTCTAGCACAGTGTTCTGCAGGGTTGGGCTCCTACATGGCCAACAGACATAAAATCCAGAACCACATGGGGCAAATTCATCCCTGGTGCAAGCAGGTGTTTTTGCAATGAAGTCAAAAGAGGTACACAGAGGATGGATTTAGCCACATGCGTGCAAGATACAGCTGCCTTCCCCATAGCATCCAATTCCCCACTGCTAGAGTTTATTGCTGTCAAAACAGTTGGTATTTTGGCTGTGTTAATTGCATAATATCCCTTGAACATTTTTCAAGGTAGGCAAAACACTTTCCCACTGAATAAATCTGTATGCACCTTGGTGTGACACTTTTTGCCTACCAGTTTTCAGCTGTCACCCACTCCCAGCCGTGAACTGATGCGATCTATCTCTGGCTTGCCTTTGCCAGAAAAATGGACTTGACTATTAAGCATAGTAAAACTTCTGCATATTTAACTACTAAGAAATGGCCCTTGCACTTTTAAGGCATATGGAAACATCCTCTCTGTCTTTCAAAATGGAAAGAGTTCTTTGCAAGTGAAATGCCACGTGCATGCGCACACCCACGTGCGGTCCCTGGGCTCCTGACACCAAATTCTTCCCAGATCTTTCTATGCCCAGCAGTGTCCTGTCTCCATAGTGCCTGGTCATTTGAGTACAGTGGGGCAGAGACTCATGTTGAGATGAATTCAAAAAGCATACATTTTAAAAGACAGATGATTTTCCTGTTATGCCAGCATCTTCAAATCCCCATATCAGCTAATGGGTTTCCCTAACCTGATGACTTTCAATCAGTTGTTGAAACATTGGCTTTCTGTGTTTTGTTTTCTGAGGAGGGAATGTGGGGTGGGGAGAATAATGAGGTGTTGTTTGTAACGTCACAGTCCTGACAGTTGGTTTTTATCTTCCATATTTTATGCAAAAACAGACATTATAAGTCAATAAATAATTGTGCCCTAGGTTGAAAGTTAAGCATTCAGGAAAGGAAAAAAATAGTTGGCATTTTTCTACATTTTTGTGAAGACTCTTTTGGAAAGGAAGGGTACATATTTTTGTTGTGTAGTATTTTCTATTTTTGAATGCATTTTCTTGGTACAAGACTGTTTTGTGGATTTTTTTTCTTTTTGGTGAACACATTATTTAAAAAAAAAAAAAAAGAAAAGAAAGAAAAAACTAATTGAAAAGTTTGCCCTTAAGGATATGCTGCAGTTTTGAGGTTTAACATGAAAAAAAAACATTCAAGGCGCGTGTTAAAAGTTGGGGAATTGTATTGTTGGGAGTTTTTTTGTAATTGTTACAAGAAGAAGTTTGTAGCCACTGCTGTTTATTTTGTTTCAGATGAGTAAGTAAAGGGATTGTTCTTGTGTTATTCTTTTTTAAAAAAAAAAAGTTATTTATGAAATGTCACAAACACTGGACTGTGAGTTTGTAGGGAAGCATTTTACCACCCTGTGTCTTCATAGAGCTGTTGGTGATCCTACTTCTCATTACTCTGCCTTATGATCTCCTGAGCAAATTTGGTGGGGGTGGCAGGAGGGAGAGAGAGAAACTGAATGCATTTTTGACTTAGAGAGTTGGGGAAAATTTAGGAAACTGTGTTTTGGAATTCTAAAGCTGGACCATCAGATCTACTCCTCCCATCAACCACAGGAATGAGAAAGGCTTGCAGTCACTGGAGGAGACAGGAAACTTACGGTACCTGGACATGGCAGTGTGCAAGGGGAAGGTGACTGAGACATGATGCTCATAATGACCTTTGTAAATGACATCTGTTTCTCAGTCAACAACTCCCTTGATTTGCCCTCATCCTGACAGTGGCTTTTGTGAACAACTCACCAACCCCACTGAAACTATGAGGTTGCTTTGCATTCTCCATCAAGCCTTCTTGGGCACCTCAGCAGTGGGAGTGACCAGCAGGGAGCACTGCTCTGTTTGATCACTGGTCTGGATTTGAGGAGGAGTAGAGGCTGAGGGTGACCAAAGAGGTGTGCCATGTTCTTAATGTTTGAAAAACAGGCTTGAGAGACTAAAGCAGTGCTCCAGGTGTTCATGGGACTGGAGAAAAGGGAAAGAGGAGGACACCAACAGCCATAACAGAAACTGGAGATATGTAACTGGGCTACATTTGAGACCAACCAGACTCTTTTCCTTCCTGGACAATAATGCAGCCAAATCTTGAGACTGTCAAGCAGACAGAAAGCTGAATGTGGCCTTCATTTCTCCTGCCTTTCCTTTTTATTCTCCCACTTCCTTTGCCCTGAGATTTCTTCTCAGTGAGCACCCGCTCCACTGAGCACTTTTTTGTCCTCCACCTAAACTGCCCTTGCTTTCAAAATGTGGGTTCAGTCAGGACTGAGTAAAATCATGTGCCTTCTTTTTCCCCTTTTGTAATTATACCAGCCTCCTCCCCTTCCCCAGCTTACATATGTGAGAGACAACAGGAGGAGGCTCTTTAGAAGTGCTACTTGTCTATAGGTGTCCAACAAAACAGTAAGGTGGTGGTGAGAGGAAGGGGAGCTGGGAGATACTGTGAGCTCCTTTCCCTTTCCACATGTAGCACGTCTTCCCAAGGAGACACCCTCCACCACCACCTCCTCAGATGCTCCTCTCTCCTATAGTGCAGCTGTAGCGAGCATGTGGTGGCTCTTCTCTCCAATTTCAATTCTAGCTTTGTGAAGCACTCAATTTTAATTCATGTTATTTTCAAGCACTCACATTGAAAAGACAAATGCAGTTTGTGGCCTTATCAAGATGACTTAAACCACTAAAAGAAAAAAAAGGCAACTCATTTCCCTCCCACGGTTTGTGTCACTTCTAAAAACCCAGTCCGCAGCAGTTTAGACTCCTTTAATCTCAGTCCATTTTGATGATGGTGGCTAAAGTGACTAGTCTCGAACTTAAATGCTGGACCGTCTGGTCTCACATTTTCTTTGCTATTACCCCTCCTGTCTGCTTGCTTTTCTCATTTTCAGCTATACTCTGCTTAATGAGGCAGCCTAGCCTTTGGTGAAAGGTGAGAAGAGCCAGTGGGATCCTGGCAAAGGGAAGGTAGTTCATGGACATTTTAGCAAGAGAAGGATATATTAGCTGCCATAGCTAATGCACCTTATGATGGGCTGACTGCAGTGTTTTTAGGGCAAATGAACTACCCAGTTACTGGAACATTGCTTGTTCACAGGTCAGAACCATGGAGAGGAAAGAGCATGTTGGCACAATGGAAAAGTGGCTCGCAGTCCACAGCTGCTCATGAGTAAAGACAGAGATCCAAATGCCACTGCACAGTCAGTGTCCCTGACGCCACAGAGGAGCCAAATTTGCTGGAGAAGCTTTTCTGATTGTAAGAATCAGCGCAAAGCAGCCCCTGAGAAGTGTCTGTCTGTCTGGCAGGCAAGACCAAGGGTGGGCACCCACCTGTGCCATTTCCCTGCAGAGCAGGATGGTCCATGCAGGCTTTCCTGGAGCTTGCCCTTCCAGAAATCCACCTCTAAAACCTGTAGCATCTGGGTGGTGGAATGAAAAACCCCTCAACTGCTTCCATAAATGATCCAGTAAATGTAGATGTTCTGGATGATGTATTGAAAGTTTATATTTTAGGCTGGGCTCTAAAGCCTGGGAGGAGCAGCATGGGAATGGTGTCGTTATTCCCCCTCTCCCAATTAACAAGTCTGCATGTGTGCACATACATAAAAGAGAAAGGGTACATTCCTACCCATCTTTGGTGCTGATGGACTTAAAACATTTGTCCAAAGCCTACATTTGACACATTTGGAGAACATATGAATAGAGTCTTATCACATGCAATATTTCCCCCAGAAAAGGGATGGGGGCGAGGAGAGCAGTGTGGGCAGTTGGGATTGGTAGAGTTGGATTATTTTGCATCTTTTGTAAAACTATAATTTTAATAGTGCCTTATTCCTAATAGATGCTGGCACTTGGGACACACACAGACGATAAAAAACAGAACTAGGGAGAGTCAGATGGGTACAGCCATAAGACAGAGGTCGTTAATCATCATAAAGGAAGCTGTATTGGGAATGACACAGCTGTGTCAGAATTGGAAACAACCTCTAAAGCAATTTCCCTTCCACCACCTCCTGCCTTCCCTCCTTGCCAATGGTGCTGCCCAAGAATAGCTGCCTACACCAAGGCCTGTCACTGCCCCATTTGCTTTTGGCGTTGTCAAGTCCAAGGAGTTTAGCATGGTCATGCTTTCCACTGCAATCATGTTTTCCATGGGGCATGTGAATGCCAGTTATTTTGCTTTAAATGCACTTTAAAAAAAAAAAAAAGAAAAAAGAAATAAAATCAAAGCTCCAGACTGTTTCAAATACATAGGGGAAGACAGTGCATATGTGTTTGAACCCAGTTGACTTTATCTCCAGTTCCAATGTACTCCATGCAGTGTGTATGTATAGAACAAAGTGTATGCATACAAACACACGTCAACCTTAAATATCAGCAGACTAATCTTTCTCCTTAAGCTCATGAAACCAGATACTACACAAACACAGCAGCAGCAGAGGAATTATGGTTGGGCTCTTGAAACAGATCACAAAAAATAAAAACAACTACTTGGTCCTTTCTGTACGTTCAATAATTACAGAAGGAATTGGGTTGTAACCAGAATAAAAAGGAACGGTGCTAAATGAATGAATGGGCAAAAAAAAAAAAAAAGAAAAACAAAGCCTCAGCCCAATAACACAGTTAGACTTTTATGCTAATTCACACATTGGGTTGGTTTGTTACTTTTTTTTGGTTTATATGAAAATAAAATTGCATCTAAACTAAACTACCACAAAGATAACAAAAAAAAAAAAAACACCAACAAAGCAAGCAAACAAAAATGCATCCTGCCCTGGAGAAGTGCTTATTTATGGAGGATGTTAGAAATCTCAAAACTCTCGGCCTTGCTCTCACATACCACATGCTCAATCAGCCCTTTTTTTAAAATGTCTGAAACTGACAAAAAAAAAAAAAGGAAAAAAAAAAAAGGAAAAAAAAAACTTTTTGAAGCACCTTATGTGGCTTCCCATTCCAGGAGTGGGAGCTGCCTTTTTTTCTTTGAGCACCTTACTGATGTGTTAATGCTATCTGCTGTCTTTTTGTTCCCCGTGGGCCGAGTGGCTGCTGTGAGCACGGGCAGGGCGTGCGGGGGCCAGGGGTGCTGGGAACCCGGCGCATCCATCCGCGTTCCCATTGCTCGTGCTACTGGCTGGGACCCAGGCACAAATTCCTCCTTGGTCTGTGCTCTGTGGCGAGGATGGGAGCTAAATGGTGGAGGGGAGAGCACACGCTCTTGTGTGCGGATGTAAAAAGTAAAAATTGGACATTTTCTTCTTGGGGCCAAAGGAATTCCCAGCAGACAACAGATGCCGAGTGAGTGGGAAACTGCAGCCAGGCCTGAATCCTTAAGTCTTTGTGCAGGCAACCAGTGAGGATGACCTCGGGCATTGTCCTGCCAAGGTGGAGACTTCAGGATTTGGTCCCCGCGCAGGACATGACTCTCTGCCCGTGTGAGGAGACAGCCACCCACCCGCACAGCCCTGCACACACCGCTGTGCGCACACACACACACACACACACACCCCGCAGCTGTACAGGCATCTCTCCAGAAACACGGTTTGTGACGATGTAAAGAGCAGGTCGAAAGTTTTGAGGGGTTAAGTTCCTTTTTTTTCTCTCATTATACTCTGTAAATGGTATGTCAGTTATCAAAAACAAGCAAATAGAAAATTGTTAAAAAAAAAAATACCTTGCATACGCCTTTTCTATCAAGTGCTTTAAAATATAGAATAAATACACACATCCTGCCAGTTTTTTCTTACAGTGAGAGTATCCTTACTTGCCATTTAATATTAGCCTCGTATTTTTCTCACGTATATTTACCTGTGACTTGTATTTGTTATTTAAAACAGGAAAAAAAAATAAAAAAAGAAAATTAACTGTAGCGCTTCATTATACTATATTATTATTATTATTATTGTGACATTTTGGAATACTGTGAAGTTTTATCTCTTGCATATACTTTATACGGAAGTATTACGCCTTAAAAAAATACGGAAATAAATTTTACAAGGTTTCTGTTTTGTGTGGAAGAGTAATTGATGTTGCTAAGAATGATGTTTGTTTTTTTGTTTTTGTTTTTTTTAATGTTACCAGCACTTTTTTTGTAAGTTTCACTTTCTGAGGTATTGTACAAGTTCACACTGTTTGTGAAGTTTGAATATGAAGGAATAATTAAAAAAAAAAAAAAAGACAAAAGAACGTGGCAGGTGTCTTTGTGTGTTTCTTTGTCTGTGGAGAACATGGAAGGTGGATAGCAAGTGTCCTGTGGACTTCTCTTAGCTCTGATGGGGCATGGCATGAGTCCTGCTGGCACCCATCTGCAGGGTGAGCCACAAACATTTCCATGTTGGGATCATTGTCAGGGCTGAACATCAACAGTAGTTGATGCTGGGGCCACGTGCCTGACAGTCTGGGGTTCTGGTGTCCAAGATACTGCTCAGAGATAAAATCAGAGACTTCCCATTCTTCTGATTTTAGCAACTCTGCACCAAGTCTTTGAATGCAGGCCATCGCACTTGCTCAGCCCTTGCCAACCTCCTCAATACCAGAAGTGTATTCTGCTGGTCAGTTCAGGCTCTGAAAGAGCAAAGTGCTCCTTGGGAGCCGTGGGATCGACACTTGCTTTAGGGGGTTTCATGTGCCCTGGATTTCCACTTCTTGACTAATGACTAATCCTGAGTCTTCCATTTTCAGTATTTTTATTTCCTCTATTACTGCAGCAAGTGCATTTTTAAGAAGTTAAAGCAAATGTGATATGTGATGTGAAAATCAGGGCACAGAAACTGCCAAGCTTGAGCTGCTGAGGCTGAGAATTAGTACTGTTGTACAAACAGTACTAAGTACTGAGTGCCTGCTCACTTCCCATACTCTGCTCCCACTTAATCCAAACCATGCTGGATCCAGAAAAGCCCATAATTTTGTTTCCAGGTAATATACTACAAACAGGTTTACCTTAGGATAACCAGCTTTGTGCTTGGAGCAGAGTGAGACCCCTGAGAAGAGACCACAGTACCCTCTATTATTCTTTCTCCCTGTGAAAATTAGGACCAAATTTGGCCTCTTGTTTCCTGCTGTGTGGACAGCATGCAAAACAATAATCTTCTTAATTTTCCATAATGGATGAAGGACAGCTGTCCCAACAGTCTTCTGACCTATGAGTGTTAGAAGAGAAAGGATCCTCTCCCTTGGGATAAAACATATTGGATAAACTGTTGCATGAACAGGTACAAGGGAAGTTTTAGCATGGAACTAAAATGCTGTTTGTTATTAGTAGAAATACCAAGTTATCACATCTAACTCCTCGCATCTCCCTCTGAGTCACGAGGGCAAATGCACAAAAATCAACTCTGGATACCGAGGTTTTGCTGGGCCACAGGTGTCACAAGCCACAGCCTTCCCAGGCATGTCCCCTGTGTGTCCCTGGCAGTAGGCACCCTGGGAGGGCTGAGACATCAAGAACTTGGGCTCAGTTCTACCTGAGCTCTTAGCTGAGAGACCTTGCTGTCACCTTCATTTGTGACAGACCTGGCAGGAGCCAGAGAGGCCCAGGTACAACTCGTGCTAGAACAACAGTGCTGATCTCACGTTCACACGCTGTCCCCTCTCAGCCTCACCTTCCTCCCTCTTCACCAAACTAGCCCATTTTTATGGCAGTGTTCCCACCACTGACCAGAGTTTCAGTGAGTTTGGGAGATGGGCTGGTATGACCCACCAAGGGTCTTACTGTCTCAGGAGGAGGTTTGGGATGGGAACTCAGCAAAGGAGTAAGAAGGAAATGGAGCAGAGGTGATGTGGGATGTCTCTCTATCCCAACCCCATAGGCTCCTTAGTGGTGTCACACACAGTCAATGAGAGAAGCTCCTACAGGAAACCTGTCACCACTCAAGGAAGAAATAAAGTCTCCCAGACTGTACCCTGCCATTTGGTCTGTAAAGGAGACGCTGCTCCCCTGTGGTTTCTCTGTGGGACGGGGTCAATGCGGCTGTAGGAAATTCCAGCACACTTAGACACACAAGATAAGCCTAAAATGAGAATCCTGACATGAGCCTCTCCTCAGAATCACACCTGTAGTAGCTGGGAGAGGGAAGACTAGGAAAATGCCTAGAAATAGGCTTCTGGGGAGCCACTGCATGTCCTCATTAAACACTTAGAAAGATGTAGGACATCTCACATGGACACTGATGGCGTGCACATGCAGACATTCATTTCTGCCATCACAGAGAGAAACCTCTCTGTTTCCCCAGGGGACCCTGAATCATGATCCCTGCTCAGCCCTCTTGGGGGACTTGGACCTCACACCCCAGATTGTATCTGAAGATGCAGTTGAACACAAAAGCACATCATTAGTGTGGGTTCAATGCCATACTTCAGAGTTGCGAGGTCAGAAACTTCTGGCCAGGAGACATTTGTTTTAGTTTGAAATGTTCAACCAGGAGCCTGCTGGCAGGGCTTATCTCCAAACTGCCTGCCAAGAGCTGGGATGGCAAGGTGCCACCCCAGGGAGAGCAGCCAGGACTTGGGTGTGGTCAGCCAGGGTCTGGGCTGGTTCCTTGGCCCAGCCTGGGCTGCTGAGTGTGCACCAGTTGTCCCTTAACACAGTAAGAGCCAAGTGGCTGCGTGGTCTCCTCACCTCAGCATGCACTTCACTCAGTCAGGCAGGTGAGTATTGAGCTCACTCAAATATTAGTGAGCCCTATATTCTTATTACTTGATTTTAACAATCACAGATGGACTGGGCCATGGCCAGAGCTCTCCCTTACTGCAGAATGAAATAGCAGCCTGAATCTACCAGCAGTGCATGCACTCCTTCTTCAGACTGCAAGGCTGCCAAAGGAAGTGCAGGATTGCTTTCCCAAGATAAACACAGTCCCAAGTGCGCTCCTTTCAGGCATTTCCCCCAGCCCTTGGGCTCCTTGCAGCCATGGAACTGGATGTTATTTGCAGTGGTAGCCTCCATTCTTGAAACCTCAGTTCCTCGTGCGTGCCTGGCACCAGCCATGGCTTGAGAGCACCAGGGATGCTTTGAGAGCACCAGGGATGCTTTGAGAGCACTAGGGATGCTTTGAGAGCACTAGGGATGCTTTGAGAGCACCAGCCATGGCTTGAGAGCACCAGGCATGAGCAGGCTGCTCCATGCAGGCTGCTCTGTGCAGGCCTGTGTGCCCAGGTGCATGACAGAAGGCATGGATGGCTCAGAGTGTTGAAATGCAAGGGCTGTACATCCAGCCATGTGGTGAGGCAGGAGCTATGACAAAGAACCCCCTCCAGAGTCGCCATAAACAGCCAAGAGCCTTTCCCAGCCCACCAGCAGGGAGGTGAAGCTGCAGTGCAGCTGGCAGAGAGGGCAGAGCTCTGTCAAGATCAGTCTTAAGTTGCTGTTGTTTTTTTTTTTTCCTAAAGATCCCTCACTTCAAGAATCAATAGCTAAATTGGCCACACAGGAAAAAGATTAATCCTATTAATGTACAGTTTTTTACAACATTAAGAAAGAAATGCAAGATCCATACCTAGAGATGTGTGGTTCAGTGTTCAGGCTATGGCACCACTCCTAAATCAGTATTTTCAGGAATGCATATTTAAAGCTTCACACTTGCATATCTCAGAGTACAGAAAACTGAACATAATTTTTTTTAAAGAAAAGAAGAGAAAACTCAAAATTTTTTTTACCAGCATTCTCACAGAACTAGAAATGCCTCCTTGTGCCAAAACAAGGATGAATAATTCCCACAGGAAAATGTGGGAAGTTCAAGTAATTTTTATTAAACCTGCCACTTTTTCTAAGTGCTGATAAAAAAATACTAAATTAAAATACAGTCAAACTTCATTAAAAATAGCTTGGTTTTTTTCAGGAGGTCTGCAGTCCTAATGTTCCTAGCAGATACCCATGGGATGCAGAACAGTTGCAAACGGTAACTCTGATTTCTGGAGCCCACACAGATTTATGAAGTGCTGCAAGGTCAGGTCCATGGGGACAGTTCTGTGGCTCTACCACAGCTCTGTTTCAAAGGAGGCAAAACATCTACACAGCTCCTCAGAGCTGAGCTCTGGCCCCTTTTGAAAGTGGGATGTAGCTGCTTTTGTTGTGCTTGTCATTGCTTTCCTGCAATTTTCCTTGGCTGACCTATTCACTGGTGAAACTGTGCACTGAAACCCAAGGCTGAAGCATAGTAGAATGAGATATCATTTCACCAAAGGAACAAAAAATGTGATTTCCTTCGGAAGACGCAGGAGGATGCCCTTACATATTGTATGGAGACCAAACAAATATTGCCATCAGTGCTCCCACTGCACATATTTTTGAGGATCAGACATATTCCCTGTGGCCCTGGTGAAGTGGGGTTGACTGTGCTTCAAGGCCTTGGCATGGGTGCTTCCTTTAGTAATGATCATTATCCTCCTCATCATCATCATCAGTGACAACTCTGCGACTCTCATACACACACTCTGCAATGTATCCTGCAGACCAAGTTGTTATATAAGAAGGAAGACATAAATATCACTAATCCAAGGAATTGAGTGTCTGTAGAAACTCAGCTGTACCAAAAAAGCTTTCTATGCCTTACAAACCAGCAGACAAGGGGCTCCTTACTCACATCCACCCCACTGTGGGCTTCAAACTCAAATGTGGGCAGAAAAAAGTATTCAGCTCATATGGTCCCTCGTGCCATTAG